CTTTTTTATTCTGGGCCAGCTTTAGCTTTGAGGCTTGGCTCCAGCTCTTAGGCCTCTGCTGCTGAAAGCAGGTATCTGGTTTGTTTGGATTCTATAATCGAAACACTGTATCAACTCCAGCTCTGAGATCCTGGCTGGCTGAAAGCAGGTTTCTGGGGTTTTGTTTAGCTTCTATATTTGTTACAATGTTTCAAACTGCAAGCTCAGAGGCCGGCAGAGGCAGGCGGGGAACGTCGGAGTCCTCTGTCATTGAAGAAAGCAAGCCTCATGTTCAGTTCAAGCTGCCTGGCTGCCGGCCGCCATCTTGGCTGGCAGTTAATTTGCATATCGCCCCGATTAGCCAATGGGAAGGGTAGCAAAGTTACGGCTAATTACCATGTTTCTCTTTTATTAGATAGGTCTAGTAGCCTGGTGCAAAAAAATTTGTGCACTCAGGGGTGAGGGTGAGGAGTGGGGGCAGACCCCTCAGCCCAACCTGCACCCTCTGTCATGTTCCGGGACCCCAGCCACTCCTGGCCTAGGCACAGGCCTACGGGCTTGGGGCGGCCTGGCTCCCAAGGCTTCATTTCATCAAGAGAACAAAGTCGGTGTTAGTTACAGCCTTCACAGAACCCAGTACACTGCATCTGTGCATACAACTGTCTCGTTCATGTGCCTGCTTGGCCCTACTGAATTACTATCTTGAGGACGACATAGCTCCATCTTATCCTGCTTCAACTTCAGTGCCTGGCTTGGTGCCAGGGACCTGAGAGGGTTTGCTGAGTGAGTGAGTGAGTGAGTGAGTGAGTGAGTGAGTGAGTGAGTGAGTGAGTGAGTGAGTGAGTGAGTGAGTGAGTGAGTGAGTGAGTGAGTGAGAGAGTGAATGAGTGAGTAAGTGAATGAGCAAACAGCTACCAGGCGGGAACTTCTGCTGCATTGCCATGAAAACGCAGCAGAAGTTCCGGCCCCACTCCCGGCTGCCTGAAGCCCACCCCGGGAAAGTTCCTGCCCTGCTCCCAGCAGCCTGGGGCCCTTCGCCTGGCTGCATACTGAATTACTAACATCTTGAAGACATAGCTCTGTCTTTTCCTGCTTAAACTTCAGTGCCTGCCCTGGTGCCTGGGACCTGAGAGGGTTTGCTAAGTGAGTGAGTGAGTGAGTTAGTGAGTGAGTGAGTTAGTGAATGAGTGAGTGAATGAGTGAATGAATGAGCAAGTGAATGAGCAAACAGCTACAGGGCTGGAACTTCTGTGGCGTTGCCATGGCAACACGGCAGAAGTTCCCACCCCACTCCAGGCTGCCTGAAGCCCACCCGGGGAAAGTTTCTGTCCTGCTCCCAGCAGCCCTGAGCCCCTCTTCTGGCTGCTACTGAATTTCTAACATCTTGAGGACATAGGTCTATCTTATCCTGCTTCAACTTCAGTGCCTGCCCTGGTGCCAGGGACCTGAGAGGGTTTGCTGAGTGAGTGAATGAGTGAATGAATGAGCAAGTACGTGAATGAGCAAGCAGCTACTGGTGGGGATAGTTTGCACTCTGCTATGGGCTGCCTGACGAAAACTCCGGGAAGTTCCCACCCTGCTCCCAGCAGCCCCCCTCCCCTCTCCTGGCTGCATAGTTTGCACAGGGCAAAGGCCACCAGGGTGTGGGTTTTGGCAGATTGGTGCATTAGCACGTGTCAGGCGGGGATCCCCTGCAGGGCCGTTTGTGGGCGTGGCCAGTGGCAGATCAGTGCATTAGCACCCACCAAACTCGGATCCCCTTGGGATGGACGTTTGTGGGTGTGGCTGGTGGCGGATCAGTGCGTTAGCACTGGTCAGCCGGGGATCCTTGCTGGAAGGCCGTTTGTGGGCATAGCCGGTGGCCAATTGCTGGAGTCCTGCTGCCAGCCCTGGGTCTGTTTTCATACTGGCCGCCTGAAGACCGGGTCGCAAATACCAGGCCCAGATGCCAGAGGGGCAGGTGGGATGGCGCTGTCCTGTCCTGACTGCAGTATGCAAATTAGCCGCCATCTTAGTCGGTAATTAATTTGCATATCGCAATGATTAGCCAATGGGAAGGGTAGCAAAGTTAGGGTTAATTACCATGTTTCTCTATTATTAGATAGGTTGCCACCCCAATAAATTTAATTAAAAAAATTCCTATCTTGGAAAAAAAAAGGGTGCATATTGGAAAAAAGAATGAAAATTAATCAGCAAAATATATCTGAATCAATAAGTAAATGATCAAATTAAGTGCAAGCTATGAACTGGGAGAAAATTTTGCAAATCACACATCTGATGAAAAACTTTAAAAATGCCTGATAAAAATCTGGCAAAGAACAGAATGTATAAAGAACTCTAACAATCCATTAATAAAAAGACAACCCAATTTTAAATAGAAAAAAATATGAATAAGCATTTTGACATATAATATGCTACATATAATTAGAGCAGAGAACTTACTGAATTTTTACATATGTATCCACCAGTGAAATTATCACCACAACCAAGATTATGGGTCGATAGGTTTCCTCATGCCCTGTAGTAATCCCTGCACAATCCCTCCTAACCTTGCCCTCTATACCCCATCCAGCAAGTACTTGTGTGCTCAGCGCAGATATGCTCTGCCATCGTTCCTCGATGCGCATATGTATGTGAGTGGCTGAGACCCAGACTCAGAGCTGAGATTTCAGATCTCTGTGGAGGAGGAGAGGATGACGATTTTCTGCAACGTGGCAATTCATTGATTCTCAATCCCAATTTAGGAAGAATTTTAGAAAATCAAGATGCTTTTTAACAGGAAGAAACTACTTGAGGACAATTGCCTTAGATACTCCATTTTTATATTTGCTTAAAAACATAGATGAGACTGCTGTTTAAAAAGCACATGTTGGTTCCAAACCTCCTGGGAATAATCTGAAACTGGCCCGGATACAGAGGGCAGGGAGAGAAGCAGGCCATGGCAGATGGGTAGGTGGCAGTTTAATAAGCCAGGAAATTTACTTACAAGGCTTGTCTTGGGTGGCCCAAAGACAAATCTTCTCTGCACTTGCCTGCCAGATTTAAAAAAAAAATTATGTAGCTGGGCTGAGTCAGGTACACCATCCTGATGGTCTCAACAACCCATTACTATGTCAAGGCTGTGTCCTTGAGGCAGCTCCTGGAAGGGAAAAGGCAAGCTAAAGACCCATTTCAAAGACTGGCTTGGGGTGAGTCTCCAATTGCCTTGGTCCAGCCTTCAGGTCAACTGGAGGTCACATCTTCTCCATGACCTTCCCCAGTGTAACAGGACACAATGGGTTCAAAGGAACACAGTCTTGGTGGGAGAAAAAGTTCTATTTTCAGTTGTAACAAGAAAAGGAGACGGGAATATTTTTCAAAGCTCTGCTTCTAATAAGAGCGGCTTAGCCATTGCCTATATACATGGTTTGATTAATTATATGTTGATTTTTTTCTTTGTAGCTGGCTAAACTCATCAGTAGTCATTCAGGTCAAGTTCATCCACTAGAGCTCCTCTGCAAAATATTGTGCCACATTTTAGCATTTAGTAAGAACTGCCCAGACTTGAGACTCTTGTCCATCTATCACCAACACTCATCCATGCTGACCGGCTTTCAGAATTTCATATGCCACCCCCTTCTTATGCAATGTGCCCTGAGAGGTCAGCAAGGGGCTTCAAGAACATGGAAATGGCTCTTTTGGTGGCTGCTCTCTCATATGCCATAGCAACAATACAATCACAAGTGAAAACACAAATGAAGACACCAATTCCCAAAATCACGGATAACATTTTCTACTCAGAACACCATGACCCAAACCACTGACTTTGCAAGTCTCCTGTTTTTTTTAAGAATTATCAATCAGGATTCTAGCAGCAGAGATGGCCCACTCTAATTAGGTACTTGGGGGAGAGTCAAGTGCAAGGGTTTTCTATAAACTGTGCACACAGGGTATGCAAGTGACAGGGGAGACTGCTGGAAACAGTGAAGAAATTGCACCCTAGCTGTAAGGGGGCGAAGAGAACAGGAACCCAGAAAAAGAGTTGATTAGAGAAGGTACGACTTTTGGCTTAGGGTTGCAGCTGGTCAGAGATGGTCTTGCTGGGAGAGAGGCAGAAGGACAAATACCCCAACTTTGCTTTTCTACACAGAAGAGATCTCCTGCTTGCACTTCCCATTGGCAGAAGCCGCTGAACTCAGAGAGCCAGAGTTCCCGCTTATGTTGTTAGAGAGTCTTTAAGATATGGGCTATTCTTACTCAATGCTGCTCTTGCTAAATGTTCAAATATACCAGTCCAGCTATAAACAGGATGATCTTGACAAGAACTCAGCAGTATTACTGTAGCCAATTGCAAAGAATGAACCAACATGTAATTGACCAAATAGTGTCAGAAATGGCTAAGCCTCCCTTTGAGGAGACAGACCTTTTTATATGAATCTCATGTTTCCTTAATTTGCTACAAGTAAATAAAACTGCCTTTGGACCACCATGTCTCCTTCTTGAATACAACACCCCAAGTGGAGAACCTTTGGGTTGGGTAACAATGTGATCCACATGGATCAGCCTCCTGGGGCAAAGAGCTATGGTGAAGAAGGTCAAACGATGGATCTGCAGAGGCAAAGAAAAATATTTGGCAGAGAAGAGACTTTTAAGTTAACGCTTTAATAGACATTTTAAATTAGGTACCTTAAAAAGAAAAGAGAGAAAAACAATAAGAAAATTCAATAACTTCAAGTTGTCCATGTGTTACTGGACAGGGACTGGGCAAAAGTGGATCTCCTCAGGCTGTCCTGTAGTGTTTGGGTTTTTTTCCTCTCTTTTTTAAAAATTGATCTTTATTGTTGAGAGTATTACAGATGTCCTCTTTTCTACCCTATAGTGTGTAGGTCCTTGAATTGGTGCAGGAAAGATTTCAAAACACAAGTCCAGGTGATTTTGAGAGTATGTTTATTAAAGCTGGGGACAGTGGAATAAAGGAAGGGATTAGGGTAGAAGAAGCTACAGCAGAGCGCCTAGGCAGGGCTGGTTTGGCTCTGGAAATGTTATAGGAAAGAACTGAGCCAAGGCGGGGCTGCTTTAGCACCCTAGGAAGTCAGGGACAAGGGGTCCTTGGAGACAGGATCAAGGACTGAGTCTGGGTCCAGCTGCCACTGTCCAGTGTTCTGCTGGCTGCAAGTCTCTCATGGGGACCCTTAGAGTTTAGGAAGAAATAAAAAGTTCATGCCTTGGAAGGGGCATGCACCTGCTCTAAAGCAGTGAGTTTTTGTCCTGAGGGCTTTCTATACCGTTCCCCCCCCCCCATCTTTCCAGGTGCATTTTTTAATATGCTGATGCATCAAAATGAGTGTATGGCGGAGTTTGGAATTATTCTTTGATCAGTTTTTGTTTTATCTTAGGTCTGTCTGACTTTAATGGGTTTTTGTTATTTGTTCCCTGACTTCTTCTATCTTTGGGTTTAGCTGGCACAAATAGTTTTAACTGGGTCTTTGTGCTCTACTTCCCAGATGAGGGTGACGTAAGCTATGTATCCTCTGGTTAGAGAGGAGAATATAAACCATTTGCTCTCAAGTGTCCTTGGTTGGTAAAGATAAAGTTTAGTGATTCACAAGCTGGCTGCAAAACACCCAAACAGATTGGCCTTGTGTATTTTTCTTGTCTCAGTTTCCCCATCCCACTTGCCCAGGAAATTTTCTAGCTGCTTATTATCCTGCTGGACAATAGAACCATCTTGCTGGAGAATCCTGCTGTTTCACTAACAAGGGGCTCAGAGACATGGACTAAAATAATGTGCATCACCAGTGGTGCTAACACTGATATAGGAAGGATTTCTCATTTGAATTGGCCTAAATTGAGCCTGTCAAATCTGCATAATATATTATTTTATGATTATGCCATTTTCTAACTTCTTCAGTTTGTTGGCATTGTGGGGGTTGGTGGGAAATGATGGGAGGATGCTTCTGGTTAGCTGTCACGGCAAAGCAAACCACCCCTAAGCCTATTGGTTTAAAGCAACAACAATCATTTATTTTTCTCTTGAAACCTGTGCAGTGGAGGTGGCCCATCTTTGCTCTTTGCAGCTTCCTCAGAGATGGCTCAGTTGTCAGCTGGAGAATCTGCTTCCATGTTGCCTCAGTTGCATGGCTGGCAAGTTGTTTCTGCTGTAGATGAAAGAGCAGCCAGGGGAGTGAGCCAGTGATTTCATGTCCTCTTCATGTGGACTCGATGGACAACTTGGGCTTCCTCACCACATGGTGGGCAAGGGCCAAGGGCACATACTCCAGAGAGCAAGGAGGCATCCTCCCTATCTAACTTTAGAAGTCACAGCCATCCACTATTTGCCAAAGCAGTCACAAAGTCCATGGAATTGCAAGGCTGTGGCACAGACCCATATAACTCAACAAAAGGAAAAGCAAGCTCAGATTATAAGAAGAATAGGCGGGATAGAAGATACTGTTGTAACCATTTTTTGAAAATACAATCTACCACATTAACAAATCATGGCAAATTAAAAAGAAAAAAGAAAATTTACACTATTTGAAAAAGCTTTGCCATTGATTTTAAAACATATTCCTAATCCTTTGTGCAATATCTGCAAATATATTCCTTTCAGCTTGTCCTCTTATATCTTTAATTCGTTCTTCATACTTCATTGTTAGGACTTTTATTTTCTCCTCTTTTTCTTCCTGTGATATTTTTCTCTGATCACATTGCTCTTCTGTTAGTTTAATTTCCTTATACAATTTCTCAGCATAGATTTTCTCCAAGGCTCCTGACTGATGTTGCAGCTTTTCATCTGTGTCCTTGTATATGTCATCAGAAAAGTGAGCCCCTCCGTTCTTCCACACCATTTCCTCTATCAGCTCCACCAGCTCCTGCAGTTGAGCTTCCTTCTCAGCCTCATCTGCATTCTGGTTGTTATTGAAGGCACAGCAGCGGGACCCACACTCCTTGATGATGTTTTGTAGGTTCACATCTGATTCATCTAAAAAGTCACTCAGTGTCTGATCACCCAAATCATCTTTGTGAGTGAACAACATGATCATGTGCTTCATGGCCGCCACCCCAAAGATGGCCTTGATCAATGCAACTGTTCTCTGCTCCTCCTCCGTGTTGGGGCCCAGCTGTAGTACCAGGATGATGGCTTGAGGACCAGGGCAGGAGAGGAGGACACACCTGTGGATTTCATCACAGGTGGTCTGTAGTTTCTCCTTGGCGTCAAAGAGACCTGGGGTGTCCACAACAAGAAGTTTCCTCCCCTTCCAATGTCTCTCTCCTTTCTGACATTTCTTGGTAACAGCGTGGGGAGCAATTTTAGAATTAAATTCTCTTCTCCCAAGGATGGTGTTTGCTGTTGCACTTTTCCCACATCCAGTTTTCCCCACCAGAACAATCCTCAGAGTGTTGTCTGGAAGGCCAGTCATGTTCTTTCAAGAGGCTCTGAGGTGCGGGTACCAACAAGACCTTAAGGAAGGGAATGATAAGGGAAAGGGTACTTAGGTAAGTGGGGACCCAAATGTCTTTTCTTCATTCTTGTCCTTGCAGTTTGTAATTGTCTACTATTCATATGGAAGAAATAATAAAGCCTAGTTTTTCCACAAAGGAGTACAGGGTGCAGGTGCTTCTGCAGGAGAACTCACTTATATATCTACAAAAATGATCATCTCAATGTTATGTGAGCTATTCCTGATAATACAAAAGAGGGAAACCTTTCCATTCTTTCTATGAATCAAGTGTGATATTGATGCTACAGGCTAACAGAGATTTGACCAATAAATAAAGTTACAGACATGACTCATTTGGAAATATCCATACCAAAATTAGTTGTTTCAACAAATCTTATTAGTAGACTAGAGGCCTGGTGCATAAAATTCATGCAGGGTAGGGTCTGTAGGCCTAGCCTCCTTGCCTCTCCACTTCCTTCCCTCACTCCCTCATTGCCCTGCAGCTGTTGATGGTTGCCGGCCATGTTCTGTGCCTCTCCTTGGTGGTCAGCACACATGATAGGAAGCAATGGAACTCCTGCTCTCCCAGTAGAACTCCAGACTGTACAATTTGCATATTAACCTTTTATATATATACTAGAGGCCCGATGAACAAAAATTTGTGCACTCGGGAGGGAGAGGGGAGTCTCTCAGCCCGGCCTGTGCCCTCTCACAGTCTGGACCCCTTGGGGGATGATGACCTGCTGGCTTAGGCCTGCTCCCCAGGGGATTGGGCCTAAGATGGCAATCAGACATCACTCTGGCAGCCCAGCAGCCCTCGGGGGATGTCCACTTGCCAGTAGGGAGCAGACCTAAGCTGCAGTCGGACATCCTTAGCGCTGCTGAGGAGGCAGGAGAGGCTCCCACCACCACTGCTGTACTGGCAGCCATCAGCCTGGCTTGTGTCTTAGCAGAGCTCCCCCATGTGGGAGCACACTGACCACCAGAGGGCAGCTCCTGCATTGAGCGTCTGCCCCCTGGTGGTCAGTGTGTGTCATAGTGACCTGTCATTCCCAGTCTTTCTGCTGTTAGGGTCAGTTTGCATATTACCCTTTTACTATATAGGATAGAAGCCTGGTGCACGGGTCGGGGCCGACTGGTTTGCCCTGAATGGAGTCCCGGACCAGGGTGGGGGTCCCACATTGGTGCCTGGCCAGCCTGGGTGAGGGGCTGATGGCTGTTTTCAGGCTGGCCACACCCCCTTTAGGGTTGGGTCCCCACTGGGGTGCCTGGCCAGCATGGGTGAGGGGCTGATGGCCGTTTTCAGGCTTGCCAGCGACTGAAGCCCTCCTTTTTATTATTTTTTTTTAATTCTGGGATTTATTTACCATTCTATAATTGAAACTTTGTTGCCGACACTCCAGCTCTGTGGCCATGGCCGGCTGAAAGCAGGTATCTGGGGTTTGTTTAGCTTCTATAATTGAAACTTTGTAGCCTTCAGTGTAGCTTAGAGCAGGCCATGGCAGGTGGGGAACCTTGGCTTCCTTCATCACTGGAGCTAGTAAGCCTCCAGCTTGCTTCAGCTGCGTGGCTGCCGGCCGACATCTTGGTTGGCAGTTAATTTGCATATCTCGCTGATTAGCCAATGTGAGGCATAGTGAAGGTATGGTCAATTACCATGTTTGTCTATTATTAGGTAAGAATAGAGGCCTGGTGCACAAAAATTTGTGCACTCGGGGGTGGGGGGGTCCCTCAGCCTGGCCTGTGCCCTCTCGCAGTCTGGGACTCCTCAGGGGATGACCACATGCTGGCTTAGGCCTGCTGCCCGGGGGATTGGGCCTAAGATGGCAATCAGACATCCCTCTGGCAGCCCGGCAGCCCTTGGGGGATGTCCATTTGCCAATGGAGAGCAGACCTAAGCTGCAGTCTGACATCCTTAGTGCTGCTGAGGAGGCAGGAGAGGCTCCCACCACCACTGCTGTACTGGCAGCCATCAGCCTGGCTTGTGGCTGAGCAGAGCTCCTC